TCATTTTAATGGCTATGTAATATTTTACTATGTAATATTCCATTATTTGTTCTCACTTTTAGTTTCTTCTGATTTATTTGACTTAATTCTGTTCTTTTTCTGATGTTTTAGTTGACTATTTTGGTCATTAATTTTCAGAGTTCTTTTCTAATATAAACACTTAAAACTACAAAATATCTTCAAAGTCCCTCTTTAGTATTGTTCTACAAGTTCTGGAGTCCTGCTGGCACAGTGGTTAAGAGCTCGGCCGCTAACCAAAAGATTGGCAGTTTGAATCCACCAGCCACTTCTTGGAAACCCTATGGGACAGTTTTACTCTGTCTTATAGGGTTGCTGTGAGTTGGAATAAACTTGACGGCAATGGGTTTTTTCTACAAGTTCTAATAAATAATATTTTTCACTATCACTCATTTCTGTATATTTTTAAATTTTTGTTATTCACTGACTCAAAAGACGTAAGATTTTTGTTTTCCAAATGAATTGGGGGAGGAGGTTGGAGGCTAGATAGATTATTTTTTTGTTATTGATGTCTAACCTAATTGTTTTGAGATATGAGAACATAATTCTATTTTTTTAAGTTTAGCAAAACCTACATTATCATTTAATTTTCCCTAAAGGTTTCGTATGTGCTTGGAAAGAATGTTCTCTATTATGAATAATGTTGATATAGATACTGGTATACAGGTTTTTGTGTGGACATACGTTTCATTTCTCCTGGGTATGGTCTTTGTTATCTAGTGCTGCTGTAACAGAAATAACACAAGCGGGTGGCTTTAACAAACAGAAATTTATTCTTTCACAGTTTAGGAGGCTAGAAGTCTGAATTTAGGCCACCTGCTTCAGGGAAAGGCTTTCTCTCCCTCAGCTCTGGGGAAAGGTCTTGGTCATCAATCTTCCTCTGGTTCTAGGAGCTTCTCAGCACAGGGACCCTGGGTCCAAAGGACAAACTCCACTTCTGGCGCTTCTTTCTTGGTGGCATGAGGTCCCCCTCCTCTCTGCATGATTCTTTTTTTTATATCAAGAGATTGACTTAAGATACTACCTAATCCTGTAGATTGAGCCCTGCCTTATTAACATAACTGCCTCTAATCCTGCCTTACTAACATCATAGAGGTTAGGATTTACAACACAGGATAATCACATCAGATCACAAAATGATGGACAGCCAGACAATACTAGGAATCATGGCCTAGTCAAGTTGACACATATTTTTGGTGGACAAAATTCAATCCATAACAGGTACTGTGTATGTTCATTAACTTAAGCTAGTTAATTGTATTGCTCAAATTTTCTACATGTTCCCCCCCGAACACTTTTTTTTTTTTAAATCTATTATTTACTGAAATCTCCTACCTGATTGTGGATTTATGAACTTCTCTGTAATTATATCAGTTTTGGATTACATATTTTGAGCCATATATATTATTAGGTAGTGTCAAGTTTAGAATTATTATATTTTTCTGATATAGAGGCATTTTCTTCTGACTTCCCAGGGCAATCAACATCCAAGGTTCTTGATGGCAGATATTCTTAGGGTGGTTGTAGTTTCAGGCTAGCTTACCACTTTGGTTTGCAACTCTCTGTATGCAAGCTCTTTGTTTGGTGGTAGGGGTTTTTTTCAGAGTACTAATTTGCCATGTAGCTCAAAGCAGATCTTTCTGTAGCCACAACTCTAAAGATGTTCCCTACTACATTGAGTTCATTCTTTTTCTTTGTTTTTTTTTTAATTCCTGGACCCAGAACTTAGAACTCTCTCTGACCTAGGTCCCCCCCCCACCCCACCCCCACTGGTGTCTTATTTTTCTTTATCTCTCCCAGTCACTTTCCTACACTACTCATTCTTGTTTTCTCCTAGATTTTTTCTTTCATTTCTTTTTCTTTCTGATTAGTCATTCTTTCATCACCTTTTCTAGTTTTGTTAAACTTTGACCCACTGCAAGCAAACATTTCTAGAACAGATCTGTAATGTGTCACAGTCAGAAAAACCCATTAGATCAATTAATCTAACCCCTATTATTTATAATAGGGAAACTAAGGCCCAGATAAATTAAGCAATTAGAACGGTGTACCTAAAGCTGGTATTAGAACCCTGGGTTTGTGATTCCCTAGTCTGAATCTCATTCCACTGTGATTCTCTTGCAATTTGAGTTTTGATTTGTTAGTCATATGTCCTTTGTCTGGTCATATTAATGTTGATTCTGTCAAGTACTTATTTCCCAGAAGGCAACAAACAGTGGGTTCTTTGGTGCTCTGGAATAACAGGCTTGCTTCTAAGGTTGGAGATGGTACCATCCGTAATAAGCTTCCCTTCTTCCTAAAGGCTTCCATTACTTACCCCACTCCTCCCTTAGGGAAGGCCTTAGGAAAGAGGGAAGCCTGTTTTCTCAATCAGTTCGGTGACACTTAGCATAAATGTTGCAACTTTAAGCTGCTATGTACTAGGTTCCAGGGATTCAACCATTAATGAGAGACAGTCCCTGAGCCGAGGAACTCACTTTCTGTCTAGAGGAGAAACCAGACAAATAGTAATTCCAGTGATACTTGGTGACTGTTACTCTAGAGGTTTTTCAAGATGCTTTGGTAGCACAAACCAAAAAAACCAAGTCCGTTGCTGTCAAGTTGATTCTGACTCATAGCGTTATAGGACAGGGTAGAACTGCCACATAGAGTTTCCGAGGAGTGGCTGGTGGATTTGAACTGCTGACCTTTTGGTTAGCAGCTGAGCTCTTAACCAGTGCACCATCAGAGCTCCATTTGGGAGCACGAAGGAAGAGCAAATTCATCCTTAGGAGGGTGTGGTCAAGGAACACTTTCTAGAGGAGGTGATGAATGAGCTGAGTCTTAAGGCCTGATAAGAAGGGAAGGAAGGATGCTTAAGGAAGAGAATCTTATTTGTACAGAATCATAACGATATGGAACAACTTAGCATTATGGGGAATCTTAAGCAGTTTGCTATTGTTGGCTAGCATAAAGTGTGAAATGGAGTTGTGTGAGATGGACTGGAGAGGTAGCCAGGTGCCTGGTCAAGGAAGGCCTTGGAAGCCTTTCTGAGGAACTTGATCTTTACTCTAGAGGTAAAGGGGAGCCATTGAAGGATTAAAAGCAGCTCTTCATTTTAGGTAGCTGAATCATTATGACAATAAGGTGGATGATTTGAAAGGCAGAAGTTTGGAAGGAGCAGACCAGATATAGGCTGTTGTAACAGGTCAGGCTAGGGGTAATGAAGGTCTGAACTGTGACACGTAGTAGGAGTTGAAGAGGAAGTAGAGAAGTGTTTATGGAACAAGGTGGCAAGACCTGGTAACTGATTTGGGAGGAGGAAGAAGTTCGCTAGACTTGGCAATAAGGAAGGTCGTTGATGACCCAAAAGAGAGCTAACTCTGTGGCACAGTGAAACAAAAGCAAGGCTGTAATGAGTTAGGGAGTGAAAGAGAAGTGAGAAAGTAGAGACAGTGAATATAGGCTCTTTGAAGAAGTTTAGGTAACAAGAGAGAATGCATAGTAATTAGGAGGGAATTTGAAGTCCACTCAATACCTCTTTAAAACTCACTCCTCTGTTGGCTTCCATGACACCCTACTCTCCTGGTTGTTTTCTTGTGTCATTTCTTCTCAGCCACCTTTCTGAGCTCCTCTTCCTCTGGACACCCCTTAAATGTTGGTGTTTCTCAGGACTCCATCCTTAAACCTTAGCTGTTCTCACACCATGTGCCCTCTCTGGCTGAATCTTATCTAGTAATACCTTCAATACCTGTATGTACATGGTTCCCAAATCTGTATTCCCAGCTCAGTCTGGTGTATCTAGCTGCATGTTGGTTTTCTCTACTGATACATACTTGAGGCACCTCAAATCCAACATGTTCAAAACTGAACTCATCATCTTCCCTGACTCTAAACTGCTATTCTTGTGTACTCTTTCCTGTTGATGGCAACCTCATTCATCTAGTCACTCAAGTTGTTAACCTCAGGATCAAACTTATCTCCTTCTTTGCTCTTCTATAGCTGATCAATCACTAAGTCCTACTAATTTTGCCTCCTATGTCTTCTCTCTTCCCTTCTTCCTTCTTCATCATTGCCTTCCTCACCTGTTGCCTAGACCATTGCAGTAACTTTCCTGCCTCAGATCTCCCCCAGAGTGATCTGTTTGAAATGCAGTTCATGCTCCTGCTTTAACCCATCAATACAGGATGAAGTCTAAGCTTTTTACCATGCCTTACAAAGCTCATTGTGACTTTCCTCTCCCTACCTTTCCAGCTTTGTCTTGTGCTGCTCCCTTTGTTATACTTCAGGCTCCCGTCACACCAGTTTGCATTCGGTCCCCTGAACATACCAGACTGTTTATTTCTGTGCCTTTGCTCTTGTTGCTCATGCTGTGCTCTGTCCCGAAATGCCCCCAAATCCTGGTTCTCCCCATCTCCAGCCCTCTAGTCTCTTAGTCTTTTCAGACTTAGGTTAGGGGCCACTCTAAGAAGCCTTTTCTGACTCTTCTTGCCCATCCCTCACGTCACCTTTTTACTCTCCCTCCAATCTGAGTAAGATCCCCACTCTGTGCCCACTATACCCTATACATATTTCTACCACAGTTTGTGCTTTTTGTTTTAATTATCTTTTTAAATGTCTCTCCTCCGCTCGTCTGTGAGTATATGAGAACAGGTGCTGTGTCATACTCATTTTCGTAGAGTGCCTACCACAGTGCCTCGTACATAATAAGAATTCAGTAAATGTGTTTAATGAATGGATAAAGTATGAGATGTTTGCACATCAGCTGAGAATGAGTTGGAGCTTTAGATAGTGGTAAAGATTATTGTCAAAGAGTGGGAGAAGGGTCTGGACAAGGACTAATAAATGGATGAATTTTGTCTCTTTGATTCTATTGCATGTGTATTAAATATTTTCACATGACTGCCCACTCTCCTCCCTATTCATTATTTTGTAAACTCTTCTTCTTTAATAAATGCCCAGTTCAGTGTTCTGGCTGATTAGTATGTCTCTTTTGATTGCAGATCAAATGGATTTGAGCAGAAGCGCTTTGCCAGACTTGCCAGCAAGAAGGCAGTGGAGGAACTTGCCTACAAGTGGAGTGTTGAGGATATGTAACTTTTCTGAGGCTGTGGGCATAACTCCGGCTTGCAGTAGTAGGCATTGGGCAGCCAGACATCCATCTGTTACAGTTGTCTGTGCCAGTAATCATGGCCCATGTAGACCAGCAACTTGTTGAGTGCCAGTTTTGACCCTAGAAGAATATTTGGGATCTGCCATTTGGACTGAGGCACCTGTATTTCTCAGGTGTGCCAACACTGGCTGTTGCTGGCTTTCAGAGGAAGCATTGTTGCTGCCTCAGGGTTTGTTCTTGGTAAGATTTTTTTCTTTTTATAATTAATAAACATACATTTATTTTTTTAAAGTCATTCTCTTAACTGGGCATTTTGTTTCTGGGAAGACCCAAGCTATATTGAACCCCCTGAGGATCCTGGAGGTGATGGTTGAATTTTCCATTAATCTAGAAAGCACTGTAAATAAAAAATTTCACAGTGGTAGAGCCTTCTTCTGAGGAAGCAAGAACTATTACTAAACTAGACATAGGCATAGACTCATGGATATTTGGAGACTTGGTGTACGATAAAGGTGGTGTCACAAATTGGTGGGGGGGAGTAGATGGCTAGTGGTGCTCAGAAAATTGACTTACTGTATGAACAAAAATAATGTTGGCTCTATACCTTGTACTATATAAAACAAAATAAATCCCAAAGGGATTGAAGACCTAAATGAAAGGTAAAATAACACTAATAGGGAAAAATGGAGAATGTCTTTGTGACTTTGGGGCAAGGATAAAACAACAACAAAAAAACCCCATTGCTGTCGAGTCGATTCTGACTCCTGGCGACCCACTATAGGACAGAGAAAAACTGCCCCATAGGGTTTCCAAGGAGCAGTGGTGGATTGGAACTGCTAACCTTTGATCAGCAGCTGAAGCTTAACCACTGGGCCACCAGGGCTCCTAGATTTCTTAAATAAGATTCCCAACGCACAATCCATAAGATTTGATAGATTTGACTATTTTAAAATGAAATATTTCTCTTTGAGAAAGCATCCCATAGATGAAGTTAATGATAAGTATGTATTAGGAGAAAACATTTGCAAATCAAAAACCTGTTGTCGTTGAGTCAATTCTGACTCATAGCGACCCCACAGGACAGAGTAGAACTGCCCCATAGGGTTTCCAAGGAACAGCTGGTGGATTTGAACTGCCGACCTTTTGGTTAGCAGCTGAGCTCTTAACCACTACACCACCAGGGTTCCAAAACTGACTAGGGATTGAATAAGAATTGCAGATCAGGAAGAAAAAGAAAACACAAAATAAAAATGGGCAAAGAATATGAATAGGTAAAATCAGTGGAAAATCACAATGACTCACTTGTGTATAAAGAAATTCTCAACCTTATTAGCAATTAGAGAAAACGTTAATGAGTTTCTACTTTATATCTGTTAGTTTGGCCAAGAAAAATGAGACTGGAGCTCTTGTGGGGAATGAAAACTCAAGAGGACTTTCAACTGATGCATCCATTCTGGAGAACAATGGGCAGCATTTACTGAAATTAAGTAATATCTGGGATGCAATATGGCATACTTTTATTTAAGAGTGTGGCTCTGGAGCTATACTGCCTAAGTTTGAATCTCAGCTATGCCATTTGCTAGCTATGTGACCTTTAGAAAGTCATTTAACTTCTCTGTGCCTTAGTTTCTTTGTTTATATGATGGAGATAATAGTAAACTAATAGGTTTATTGTGAACTTAGAACAGTGCCTGATATATAATAAGTATCACAAAATTGTTAGCTCTTATTATCATCATCATTCTTTTCATCATCGAGTGTGGTAGCTAGCTTCAAAGATGGTACCCAGTGATCCCCGTGTCCTCATATTCAAGCCTTTGTATAGTCTCCTCCCACAGTGAATAGGACTGACCTGTGTACCAATTGGATATACTAGAAATGATGTGACTTCTGAGACCTTGGATCACTTGCTTTGGGGGAAGCCAGCTGCCCTATCGTGAGGACACTCAAGCAGCCCTCTGGAGAGGCCCATGTGGAGAAGTACTGAGGCCTCTCACCAACAGCCAGCACCAATTTGCCAACCATGTGAGTGAGCCATCTTGGAAGTGAACCCTCCAGCTCCATTCAAGCCCTCAGCCCTGGGTGACAGCTTAACCACAACCCTATGAGAGATCCTGACCAGAACTGCTTTCAAATTTTTGACCCAGAGAAACTGATTTAATAGATGTTTTTTTTAAAAATAAATAAAACAGATTTATGGAGATAATAATCAACAGACTATACAATTCATCTATTTAGTGTACAATTCAGTGGTTTTTAGCATATTCAGAGTTGTACAGCTACCACCAGAATCAATTTTAGAATTTTTCATCACCCCATGGACACATTAGCAGCCCTAGGCAACCACTAACCTATTTTCTGCCTCTAGATTTGCCTCTTCTGGACATTTCATATATATGGAATCATACAATATGTGGCCTTTTATGTCTCGCTCCTTTCACTTGTCATGTTTACAGATTCATCGTGTGTCAGTACTTCATTCCTTTTTATGGCTGAATAATTTTCCATTGTGTGGACATACCATATTTTATTTATCCACGTGACAGTTGATGGCTATTTGTTTCCATTATTTGGCTATTATCAATAATGTTGCTATGAGCAGTCATGTACCAGTGTTGGTGTAGATGTATGTTTTCGTTTCTCTTGGGTGTATACCTAGGAGTGGAATTACTTGGTTATATGGTAACTCTATGTTTAACTTTTTGATGAACTTTTCGTGCCAGTCTTTCCAAAGCAGCATATGAGAGTTCCATTTGCTTCACATTCTTGCTAACACTTGTTATTATCAGTCTTTGATTATAGCCATCCTAGTGGATGTGAAGTATGGTTTTGATTTGCACTTCCCGCATGGGTAACAGTGTGTATCTGCTTTGGAGAAATGTCTATTCAAATGCTTTGGGTTGTTTTTCTTGTTGAGTTGTAAGAGTTCTTTATATACTCTGGATACACATACATGAGTTGCAAATATTTTCTCTCATTTTTTGGGTTCTTATTTGTTTTACGGCACTAAGTTTTGGGTAATTTGTTACACAGCAGCAGATAGTACATTAGGTATGTACATAAACTACAGGAAAGCAGTTCCACTCCTGGTTATAACCTTTAGAGAAACTTGCACAAATCCACAAGGAGTTGTATATATAAGGATGTTTATGTATAGGTTGGTAGCAAAAAGCTGGCAGTAACTTATATGTCCATCACTAAGGGAATAGATAAGTAAAATGTTGTATATGTATGTGATGGGGTATTATAAAAAGCAGTCAGAAAATAGCTGTTAGGAATTTATTGACATGATAGGCCCCAGATGAGGAAAATAAGTGACAATGAGATTTATAGCAAAAGTTAGCTAAGTAAATGAAACACACAAAGCAACATCGTTTAAGGAGGATATGTTTTAACTTACTAGAATAGGGTCTTTTGAAGGGAATAAAATGGGGAATGAAAGGGCAAAAGGGGAACGTGGACGGAAGTGATACTGAACTGAGGCGGATGACCAACTCAATTCTGTGTACCTGAGGCCCTAAGGCAGGTGAGTGTGTGTGTGTGCTTGCATGCATGCGTATACACACGCAGATCCAGAAGCAAGGCCCTGCTCTAATGGAATCGCCATTTAGTGCCTGTATTAGGGTAGGCTAACCTGCTATAACTCCAGACGTACTGCTTACCACAATAGAAGTTTTTGTTTTTCTTTTTTCATGTAACATCCAGGGTAGTTTCAGGTTGGGGAAGTGTGAAGGTGATGCTTTACTACCTGCAGTCGTTTAGGGACCAGGCCTACGGCAGCTCTGCCAACTTCAGCATGGCTTCCAAGGTTGCTTTGGTCATTGCAATTCTAGTGAGTTGAGACAGAGCTTGGAGGATTGCTTGGTAGTTGTTATGGGCCAGCTCTGCAGGTGGCACACACTTAATTCTGTTAGCTAGAACTTAGTTGCTTTACTCCTCCTTGATGCAAGGGAGCCTGAGGAATATAATCTGTGTGCCCAGAAGAAGGGAAAAACGGATTTTGTTGGGCAGCTGTTGTCTCTGCCACAGTATGCACTTCTGACACTCCTGAAGAAAGGCTGCCCGTTCCCAGCTTTTAAACACATAAATGGATTTTTTTTAAAAATTATACTTCAGATGAAGGTTTACAGAACAAACTAGTTTCTCATTAAACAGTACACATATTGTTTTATGACATTGGTTAACCCCATGACATGTCAACACTGTCCGTTCTTGACCTTGGGTTCCCTATTACCAGCTTTCCTGTCCCCTCCTGCCTTCTAGTCCTTGTCCCTGGGCTGTTGTGTCCCTTTAGTCTCATTGTGTTTTATGGGTCTGTCTAATCTTTGACTAAAGGGTGAACCTCGAGAGTGACTTCATTACTGAGCTAAAAGGGTGTCTGGGGTAAATGGATTTTTTAAAAATATTTTTGTTGAGAATATACACAGCAGAACGTACAACAATTTCTACTTGTACAATTCAGTGACACCGATTAAACATTCTTCACGTTGTGCAACCAGTCTCACCCTCTTTTTCCAAGTTGTTCCTCCCCCATTAACATAAACTCACTGCCCTCTAAGTTTGCTATCTAATCTTTCAGGTTGCTGTTGTGAGTTTGATCCTAGATAGGTAGATCTTAAAAGAGCACAATGCTCACGGCAGACATTCTTTACTAGTTAAGCCAAACTGTTGTTAAGTTTTAAGAAGACTTCAAGGGACGTTTTTCTTTTAAGGCTTGAAGCTTATCTCGGTAATAGTTTTAAGGGTTCATCTAGCCTCCATGACTCCTGAAAGTCTGGATTCCATGAGAATTTGAAATTTTGTTCTGTATTTTTCCCCTTTTGATTAGTATTCTATGGACTCTTTGATCAAAATGTTCAGTAGTAGTAGCTGGGCACCATCCAGTTCTGGTCTCATGGCAAAGGAAGTAGTTGTTCATGGAGGCAATTAGCCACACATTCATTTCCTCCTCCTATTCCTGACTCTCCTTTTCCTCTTGTTCCAGGCAAATAGAAATTAATTGTTGTACCTTGAATGCCTGCTTGCATGCTTTTAAGACCCCAGGTGCTACACAACAGACTAGGAGTTAGAACAGAAGCACTGAACATGTTATTAGGCCAGTTAACTGAGATGTCCCATGAAACCATGACCCTAAACCTCCAAACCAAGGAACCAAATCCCATGAGGTGTTTGGTTGTACATAAGCAGTCTCAGCAGCTACTCTGTTTGTTTGTTTGTTTGTTTGTTTGTTCTCAATATATCTATCACACAGCTTTTGCCAATTCAGCTTTTTACAGGTGTACAACCTATTTATTTGACAGCAATTATATTAATCGGCTGTGCAACCCTACCCTTAATCAATGTGATTTTTCCATCATTGTCAGCTGAATCTCAGTAATCCATAAACAATAACTCCCCCTTTCTCCCTCTCTCCCACCCCTGGTAACCACTTTACTTCTCTATATATTTGCCTGTTCTTGTTATATCAGTGAGGTCATACAATACTTGTCCTATTGTGATTGATTTATTTCACTCGGCATAATGTCTTCAAGCTCCATCCATATTGTAGCATGTATCATTTACTGGCTGAGTAGAATTCTGTCTTATTTAGTGCTGCTATAACAGAAATACCACAAGTGGGTGGCTTTAACAATTTTCTCACAGTTTAGGAGGTTGGAAGTCCAAATTCAGGGCAATAGCTCTAGAGGAAGGCTTTCTCTTTCTGTGGGCTCTAGGGGAAGGTCCTTGTCTCTTCTCAGTTTCTTGGTTCCTTGGTGATCTTCAGAAACCCTGGTGTACTGGTGATCTTCATTTGTGGCATGTATCTTCCTCCATCTCTGCTTGCTTGCTGCTTGCTTAATCTGCTCTTTTAAGTCTCTAAAGAGATTGATTTAAGACACACCCTACACTAATACTTACATTAACATAACAAAGAAAACCCTATTCCCAAATGGGATTATAACCACCAAACCAAAACCAAACCCACTGCCGTCATTGAGTCAATTCTGACTGGTATACCAAAAAAAAAAAACAAAAACAAACCCATTGGCTCTGGAGTCGGTTCTGACTTATAGAGACACTGTAGGACAGAGTAAAACTGCTCCATGGGGTTTCCAAGGAGCAGCTGGTGGATTCAAACTGTCAACCTTTTTGGTTAGCAGCTGTAGCTCTTAACCACTGTGCCACCAGCGTTCTGACCTTGGCTGCTAACCTAAAAGGTCAGCAGTTTGAATCCACCAACTGCTCCTTGGAAACCCTATGGGGCAATTCTACTCTGTCCTATAGAGTTGCTATAAGTCGATATCGACTCGACGGCAACGCAGTTTTTTTTTTTTACAGGTAGTAGTGCTGCAGTGAACATTGGTGTGTATGTATCTGTTTGAGTCTCTGATTTCAAGTCTTTTGGGTATGTACCAGGGAGTGGAATTGCTGGGTCATCTGGTAGTTCTATTTTTAGTTTTTTGAGGAACTGACACACTGTTTTCCACAATGGCTGTACCATTTTGCGTTCCCTCTAGCGATGGCTAAGGGTTCCAGTCTCCCTACATCCTCATCAGCATTGTTATTTTCTGTTTTATTTTTGCTTTTATCTTAGTCATCCTAAAATTTAAAAAAAACCCATTGATGTCAAGTCTATTCTAACTCATAGTGACCCTATAGGACAGAGTAGAACTGCCCCATAGGGTTTCCAAGGCTGTAAATCTTTATGGAAGGAGACTACCACATCTTTCTGCTGAGGAGCAGTTGGTGGTCTCAAACCACCAAGTCTTTGGTTAGCAGCTGAGCACCTAACCACGGCACCACCCGGGCTCCTTTTAGCCATCCTCCTGTTGCTGTTGAGTCAATTCTGATCCATAGTGACCCTATACGACAGAGTAGAACTTCCCGTAGGGTTTCCAAGGAGCGCCTGGTGGATTTGAGCTGTGGACCTTTTGGTTATCAGCTGAACTCTTAACCACTGTGCCACCAGGGTGCTAACAGGATTTCCTTAGCTGTCCTTGTGGGAGTGAAATGGTATCTCATTGTGGTTGTGATTTGCATCTCCCTGATGGCTAATGATGTTGAGCATCTTTTAATGTGTTTGGTGGCTATTTGAATCTCTCCTTTGGTGAAATGTCTATTCAAGTCCTTTGCCCACTTTATGATTGGGTTGTCCTTTTGTTGTCGAAATTTGGTTATGAAATTTTTATCCGATATATAGTTTCTGAAGATTTTCTCCCATTCAGTAGCTTATCTTTTCACTTCTTCGGTAAAGTCTTGAATGGAAGTTTTTAATTTTTATGAGGTTTCGTTTATTTATTTATTGTCTTTTGCTGTTTGTGTTTTTGTTACTATATTAGATACATAATCCATTGTTAAAAGTTAGGCCCAGCAGCATTGCCTCTGCGTTTTCTTCTAAGAATTTTATGGTTTTAGTTTTCACATTTAGGTCCTTAATCCATTTCGAATTTGCTTTTCTGTATGGTGTGAGGCATGGATCCTGTTTCACTTCTCTGCATGTGGAAATCCAATTTTCCCAACAGCATTTATTGAAGAGACTCTTCTTTCCCCATCAAATGGATTTAGCGTCCTTGTCAAAAATCAGTTGATCATAGATGTGTGGGTTTATTTCTGGACTCTCAATTCTGTTCCATTGGTCTATGTGTCTTTTGTTTTGCCATTTACAGACTGTTTTAATTACTGTAGCTGTATAATATGCTTTAAAAGCTGGAAGTGTGAGTGCCCCTACTTTGTTATTCTCTTCCAACATTGCTTTAGATATTCGAGGCCTTTGCCATTCCATATAAAGTTGAGGATTGTTTTTTCTGTCTCTGAAAGAAGGCTGTGGGAATTTTGATCGGGATTGTGTTGAATCTATAGATTGCTTTGGGTAATATTAGCATCTTAACAATATTAAGTCTACCAATCCATGAACACAGAACATCTTTCCATTTATTTAAGTCATCTTTAATCTCTTTCAGCAGTGTTTTATAAGTTTCATTGTATATGTCTTTCACATCCTTGGTTCAGTTTATTCCTAGGTATTTTATTCTCTTAGTTGCTATTGTAAATGGAATCGTTTTTCTAATTTCCCTTTCAGATTTCTCATTGCTGGTGTATAGAAACCCAACAGATTTTTGTTTTTTGACCTTGTGCCCTGCAGCTTTGCTAAATTCCTCTATTAGCTCTAGAAGCTTTCTTGTGGACTCTTTGGGATTTTCTCTATAGTATAGGATCATGTCATTTGTGAATAGAGATAATTTTACTTCTTCTTTTCCAGTCTGGATACCTTTTATTTCTTTTTCTTGTCTTGTTGCTCTGGCTAGGCATAAATGGATTGAAATAATTCTGAGATCTTAAAATCCCAAAGGGATTCCATTTCCTAACTGAAGACTATCAGCTGCGGTCACTACCAAGTTAGGGATGTCTCTTCCATAACTCCAGCCAGTGTTTATCAGGGAAAGGCTTA